TCTCACTCGGTTAATGTCTCTTTTCTCCTTAAGGGGCTTCCAGGCCAGGTTGGGCTTCCCGGAGAGATCGGAGCACTGGGACCCAAGGTGAGGGGTCAGGAGGGGGCACAGGAAAACCTCTCCCTCCTTACCCCAGCATCCACTTCTCTGTACTTTGGGGGCTCCTGGGGTAAACAGGGACGACCCTGTAACACAGGTGAGCAGGGTCCTATGGCAGGGGCAGAGGGGTGCCATGTCCCCCAGCACTGTCCATCCCCTCCCAGTTCATGGCCGGGGGATGCCCGAGTTCCTGCTATGACAGCCGGGGTCTTTGATTCTTCATCACCCCACTCCACCCTGGCTCCAGCAGTACCTGCCACCTTCCCACCCCTAAATCTCCCTTCCTGGGGTTGTTCTCTCCTAGGGTGACCCTGGACCCGACGGCCCGCGGGGTCCCCCAGGCCCTCCAGGGAAACCCGTGAGTATCTCCCCAATCATCAGCATTTTCTGCAGGAGGGAAAAAGTCTCCCAGCCCCTCAGCCCAGGGTTTGGGGTCAGGACTCAGGCTCTGGCACACACCTTCCACCCCGTGCCTTGTTCCCCTCCCTCACAGGTGTAACATTCACCCCTCCTGTAAAACAGTGCTGATATTAAACTGCGGATGCTGATGGTCTGCTTCCCTCCAGGGCCCCCCAGGACACATCCAAGGAGAGGAAGGCAGCGCCGATTTCTTGGTGAGAGCTGCCATTACCTTGTCCCTTCAGCAGGCCTTTGCGGGGACGAGCGTGTGCTGCCCTGGCCTGAAATACAGCCACCAGTGTAATTTGGTAACTGGGGGCTGATAGAGTGGGGAGGAGCACAGTCCCCAGCCGAAACGATGCTGCGAGCGGTGGGTCCCCTGCATCACTGCACAGCCTGGCTTTGCTGTGCGGCGTGGGAGCCCGTCCTTCCCAGCATGGATTCTCCACAGCCTCTGGGTCCTTTCCCAACTCAACCTGCGTTTCTTCTTCCCCACCAGTGCCCGATCAGCTGCCCGCCAGGTCCCAAGGGCCCCCAGGGACTGCAGGGACTGAAGGTGAGGGAGCCCTGGAGCTGCTGGGGAACGAACAGGGGTCTCCACTTCCAGCATGCTGTGCCTGGGCGGAGGAGCCTTCCCCGCTCTGGAGGCACAAGGAGCTTGGGAGCTGCTCTGCTCCCCTGGGAGCACAGGGGCATGCAAACTCAGAGAGCCCTGGGGGCAAAGGCACTGTGGGAGAGGTGTCCTGTGGCTCCCCAGGTCCTGCCAGCCTCTTCCTGGGGGATGAGACCCCGTGCCGAAGCCCCAGCTCCAGCTGTGCCACTGCCCGGCTCCTCTGCTGCAAAGCCCAGAGGGTTAAACCCGGCGGACGTCCCCACCGCACGCCCTCACGGCTGCGGGATGCTGAGCCCCACCGCATCGCCAGTGGGATGCTGAGCCCCACCACGTCACCAGCAGGCACCCCAGGGTGGGACGTGGCCGGCAGGGTGGCTCCGGGTGACGTGGCCGTCAGGACACTGCCTCGACGCCGTTGCTTTGCCAGGGATGCTCACGGTCTTCCTCTTCACCCTTAGGGACACAGAGGCCGCCCCGGCGCCCTCGGGGAGCCCGGCAGGCAGGGCAGGCAGGTGAGTGACCTCTCCGGCAGCTTCCCAGAAGGAGCCAGGCGTGCCTGCCTCTGGAGGAGCTGGGGTTGGACCGGAGGGCAGAGGGCTCTGGGGAGAGAAAGGGGGAAGGAAGGAAAGAGGTGGGAGAGGGAGGACGGAGATCCAGGCCTGGGAGATGGAGGGTGGAATGGGTGGTCTTCCCACGGTGGCTCCCTGGGAGGGGGGGACCTGTCCCCATCCCCTGCCAGGTCCCAGGTGAGGGCGTCTCGGGTCCCCAGGGTGGTCTGTACCCCTGCTCCACCCCAACACTCACTTCTTTCCTCTCTGACCCTGCCCAGGGCGCCAAGGGTGACGTTGGCATCTCCGGAGAACAAGGTGTCCCAGGCCCTCCGGTAACGTATTCATTTCTCTTTGCTGCTCTGTCCCCCGGGTGCCCCAGGGGCTGAGGGTGGCCGGTTTGTGCTTGGCCCCAGACACCAGGGACGTGATACCAGTGTGTCCCTGCTCCTGGGGACCCACCGCTGGACCGGAGCAAAGCCTTCATCCCATCCATCTCCCTCCTCCCAGCCGTGGAGCCACTGCCAGGAGGGTGGCAAAGCCACATCCCAGTGGAGACCTCCACGGTCAGCACTGGCCCGGGCACCTCGGTCGCTCGCACACGTTAACATGGATAACTCACCAGCCGGGGACAAATTGCTCATGTACACTGAGCCCCCCTTAACCTACCTGAACGGGGGGTGCAGCGTCCAGCTCACCATGGGGACGTGGGGATTAAAGCTGTTCGAGCTCGCTGAGCACTTTGAAGATGAAAAGCAATTAATGGGCTGAGCCCTTCGATCCGGGAAAGGGCAAAACTGCTTTGAAGCCAAGAGCTTTGGTGGGGGAAGCAGCACCAGTTTGGGCCTGTTGCTGTTATTGAACCGACAGCTGGAAAGGCGCCCGGTGGGGGGCTGCAGAATTAGGAGAGAGCAGCGGGATGGAAATACCTCGCATTTGGCAAACCCGGCTGATTTCCAGTACCGGCTTTTGCTCTAATTGTGGTTTCCCCCTGGGCTAAGCCTCTGTTGTTTCCTTCCCTGCAGGGACCGCAAGGCCTGAGGGGTTACCCCGGGATGGTGGGACCCAAGGGCGAGACGGTAAGCGCCGGTGGGATGCAGGGGTGGCTGTGCCTGGTTCCAGGGTCAGGGGGACCAGCTCCCCGGGGCTGAGCCGTCGCGATGCTTCCCAGGCTGGAGGCTGCTTCCCGGGAGTATCGCTAACACGGCTGTTTGGCCATCTCGGAGAGCTGGACGCTGCCTCTTGCTGGTGGGGTTGGAGTTGGCTGGGGGCTGAGGTTGGGATGGGAGGAATTGACCCCCCCCCCCCACTGTCTTTCAGGGTCCTGCTGGTTACAAGGGGATGGTCGGGACCATCGGAGCGGCCGGGCGGCCGGTGAGTGCCCTCCCTTGTCCCTGGGGGCTGCAGGGCAGGTGGGGGACCCCGCACTTTGCTGCTCAGCCCCCATCTTTTTCCTTTCCAGGGCAGGGAAGGTCCCAAGGGATCACCTTGGGACCCTGGTGAGAAGGGAGATCTGGTAGGTAACCCGCCCCATCGGGGAGGGCAGCGCCGTGACCCATGCGATGCCAATGCCCCCTTTTTCCCAGCTTGGCCCCGCTCCCCGGCACAGACAGGGGCTCTGCCCGGGGTGCCTCAATGGGCATCTCCTGCCTCTCCCAGCTCCGTCCCCTGCACCAAGAGGGCGGCTGAAATAACACTTGCTCTCCTGCTCTAGGGTGGCCGTGGCATCAGGGGCCCCCAAGGAGACATCGGCCCCAAGGGGGAGAATGTAAGTACAGCCAGCGGCACCCGTGCCCACATCTAGGGCTGAGCCCCTTGCAAGAAGATCTGTCTGTCCCTCTCTGTCCTGTTCGGGGCCATCTTGTGTCCTTGCACCCTGGCTCAGCACAGGGCTGGAGCTTTCCTTTCCCCTCCCAGCCTTTTTTTGCCCCCACCACGAGCCTTTCAGTCCCTCTCGGAGGTGTCAGACCAAGCAACGCTTCCTCCTTTTGCAGGGTCTCCCGGGCATCGATGGCAAAGACGGCACCCCGGGTATCCCAGGTGTGAAGGTGAGCTGCTGCGGGCAGGGGCTGCCGGGTGCTGCCTACGCCGACAGTGGGGAACGGACACATGCTGTTCCTTGTACCCGTGTGTCGTGGTTTAAAACCAGGACACGGTGCTTGCTGGAAATAACAGGGACGGCAAGTGGCATAAGGTGCCGGCCCTTGACGTGGCATCTCCTGACTAGTGGAGTGTGGCTGTCCCCATGGGGTCAAGGGCAGTGTCCCCTTTTGGCCAGGAGTCCTTTGTCCCACCCATGGACACCTCATTTCTGCACCTTTCTCTGCCACATGGTAACATCTTCTCTGTCCCTCGCAGGGCGGCGTGGGACAGG